CCCCCCCCCGACCCCCGAGGATATCACTCCCCCCGGGAGACTCTCCCGGGCGATGACGGACACGCGATGGTCCCTCGCCTGTACCCCGCCTATCAACGCTCGGCCGCATTCCGATCGGTGTATTGGGGCCGATCCGCGACCAGCAGGACTTGGGAATCCCCGCAAATTCCATATTAGGGATGGGCGTTCGGACGTGGCGCCAAACCTCGCCACGGTCGTCAAACCTCGTCCTTGGCCATTTTTCAGGTAAGTCTTCATCATTTACTGTATTCAAATGAAGCTCCTTTCCTCTTTATCTCCTCGAAGGTGCCGTGATGGATCCCGGAGACGTCCCTTCATGCTGCTTGGGAGCATGGCGCCGATGCTCGCTTCTTACCCGCTGGGCCGTCGACAGCAATTTGTAAAATGGTGATTCATTCAGCGCCCTCATTTGACCTTTAATTCTTGCGTGTGCGTAGATGAGCTTGGAGAGAGAGAGGAGAGAGAGAGAAGTATGGGAGGAGGAGGAAATAAAAAAGACTTGTTTTTCCTGTTGGAAATGCGCGAGCGCGTTTCACGGCGCATTCCATCTCTCCCTCTCTCCTCCCAATAGATGGATGAGGGACTTTCAAGGTCCTCGGTATCATGCAAACCTGCCTTCCTCCTTCGCAGGGCCCTTCCCGTCCGCTCGCCGCGACACACTTTCTTCCCCGGTAGATCGAGCGAGGGCGTTCGCGGGAGGGGGAGCACCTGGGTAATTCGTTTCGGCCTTTTCTTCTCTTTTCTGGGTCGCCTTCCGGAGCAAGGGGCGGGGGGAGGGGAGAGAGCGGGGGGTGCCGCGAGTTGAAAAAGTTGAAGAAAGAAGAGAGTTAGGGAGTAATTACTGGGAGATATATGACGCAAGGATGGTTCACGGGGCACTTTTACCTGTGGAACTTCGCCATCTCCCCGAAAGGACAAACGACAAAACGAGTGAAAAATTGGCTTTTCTCCCCGGAGAGGAAAGGGAGAGAATATGTGCGTGTAGTATGGAAAAAGAAACCGGAAAAAAGGGAGAGGAGGGGGACCGGGTCGGCCCCCGTAAACACAATTTGGCAACCCCGGGGGGTTAGGTCTTCTACGGTGTAGGGGGTTTCCACTAAAGTCCCCCTCCCCTTCTTCTGGACGGGACGTGACCGGTAATGAGACATTTGAGTCCTTTCTTGCTTCATCCGACCCCCGAGCAGGACTACTCAACCACGGACAGCTCATCACCACCCGTCAACGCGAGCACCCTGACCAGATGGACGATGAAATATGAAAAGCAGCTCGAAATGAAAGATCCCTGGAACGGTTCTTTCGGGAGGGTCGCGGAAAACGGGCGTTTTGAATGCAAGAGAAGAGGGGGAGGGGGGGCGGCGAGCAAATGGGTGAGTTGCACTGCCCAATGATGAGGGGCGATAAATCTCACATTGTTAGCAGCGTCACGAGGTTCGTCAACAATGCACACCTACTGCGCCTGTCAGCTTGCCAAGTGCCGGCGGAAGTTCCCTGCCCTGCGCCACCCCCCACCACCCCACCCCCTCCCACAAAAACGTTTAAGCCCTAATTCCCTGACCCAACGAAACTTTTGTTTCTGTTCCTCGATATAACCTACTTAGGCTCGTGAAGAATTCCTGACCTGGAAACGCATGCGATGAAGTGGTGACTCTCGAGCTAAAAAGCCGGGTGAGTCCCAGATAAGAATGACTTGCGCAGTTCGTGCA